CTCTCTCGGGGAAGCTAGGAGCACTGCAGGAGGTAAGATTTTATCTCTGAGCTCTGACCTCTCGGCTTTCTCTTTTACATTGGCTCTGTGTTTCTTATTTTAATAATACGATTGGTTACATCTACAGATTGTAGTTTTCTTTCTGTCACTATGTGTTTCAGCCAGTGCCTCTGGTACAGGTAGGAACAAAACGATGATTCCTATTTGAATGCGAATATCATTTTGCAGAGAAAGCTTGGGGGAAGTGCTCATTCCACCTAGTGGCCAGCCTCTTAGGTGCATGCCACATTCACTTTTTTCCTGGTCATTCTTCAGTTATCATTCGCTTCTGTGAGGTGGGATCCTAGTAAAATTATCCATTCAATGCACAGGAGATACTCGAGAACTGTCTACCAGCCCTCAAGTGTCTCCTTGGCCTTTTTTTCTCAGTATCTTCTATTCTGTGTCAAGGATGCTCAACCTTGGAATTAGCGATGAAGAACCCAGGCATCTTCTCTTCCAGCCATCATCTCTTTTATGTCTCCTAATTGTCCACATTATTGATTTTGTGGTCTGTCCTGTTATCTTATATTGTTGATAAAGCTTTCGTTTTTCTAAGGAGAGTATCTGGTTACATTGTTAATGTATCTCTTTAAAGAATGTGGTCACTGAAAAGTGGGTTGTCTTCTACCTTTTTGTTTCTGGAGATAATTTGGGGATAGAAGGAAAAGTTCCATTCCACATTCTCTTAAAATGGTAATGAAGAAAGAAAAAAAACTAGCTTGAACGTAACTATTGAAAAGTCTAGTCATTAGTTACTCTCAGAAGACTCCGGTTATTAAATGAAAATCCCAGGCCAGGCATAGCCACTTCATACAAGGTTAGCAAGCCAGTCAGAATAGCAGTCTATCACTACTGCTCTTGGCTGTTCACCAAAGCTGGGTGCTACAACCCCATTGCTGAAGACACCATAGTTGGGTTGCAGAGCATAGAGAAACCAACCCCAAACTGACCAAAATAATATGCTCTCCACTTTGTCATTTTCATAGTGCTGGAAGGAAGTATGTAGCATACTGAGCAAGAAAAGACACTGATGGTCCTTCACAACTCTGGAGCCTGCAATCTCCCGGGGAAGATGCGCCCCCAAGGGGAATAGTGCCATGAATGTTATTGGGATACACGGCTACTTTCTGATTTGAGGCTTTCACCACAGGAAGGAAATCATGCTCGGTATTGTAATCTTGGTCAAAGGCCATGAGTGGGGAGATCATAGGACTTAGGAGGTAACCTACTGTTTTTGTTTTGCTAAATGTTCATGTTGTCAAATTGTTTTCTAAATATTTGTATTTTTATCTCCAAATTTGTGCTCTTCTCAACATTGGTCAGAGAAACTTGTTTTAGCAGTGAGTTGTGATCAGTGAAGAGACTGTTCAACGTACTGAGAACAAGTGACTATGAGTGCTTAGCCACATATGGAACATCTGTTTCAACCTTTCCTGACCCAATACCCATGTGGAAAGAAAGTAATAAGGATGTTGTCTTCTGCACATAACACGGCCTTTGCACACATGAACTTATAGCAGCTGTGATTATTTGTCCAACACTTGAACAATCAAGCCAGTCAAATATTTATTATGCATTAAAAAGGGGCTCTGGAGGCTCCAACACTATCCAAGAGCTACTGGCAAGCTTCTGAGGAGGGGGACTTTATCTCTCTTTAGGTGTCTAGTCACAGACAGGTTGCATACACTGTGTTGAATGTCCCCACACCCTAGCACATATGGGTAGCACTAATTGGACTTAATGAATTATGAAAAGAAAAGGGCATGAGGTTGACAGGGAGATGTCTGTAAGCCTACAAGGTGTATGAAAGGAAAAGATGGGGTGAATATGATGAAAATGCTTTGTCTACTTGCATGACATTTTCAAAGGATAAAAATATCATTGAAATAATTCTAGTCATTGGACACAGAGTACATAAAAATAAAAGTTTACTTTATTAATAAGCAAATTTCCAGCAAAGAGAAAGATCAACCAAAGAAAATCTTAAAACCTTCTGTGAATGATATCAAAATCTAGAATACACTAGAGCTATGATGGAACAGGAAATTGATACCTAAAAAGCCTCTATTTTCTTTTGAAGAACCAGAGGTAATAGACCACTTCCATCTGTGGCTCATAATGGAATACATTCGGAAAGGGAAGCCTATAATGAAATGCACCTCATAGGATATGCTGGTAGGAATTTAAGTTGCAAATTAGATTTTATAGCTGTGCAATTAACTCTAAGGAAATAGCTATTTTTCCCTTTTTCTGCTTTGGTCCAGTACAAGACACCTTCTACATTGATAGGAGAACCTGTCTTTTAATATATTAATAAACCTAGGCTTCCATGAATTATTTGAAAACTAACTCTGTTTTTCTGCTTATTTTATCTTTCCTGGTTATTAACTAAAGTCAAACACATCCTTTGAGCTCCCAAGCTTCAACTGAGAATGAAGTTTGGATCATTTGCTCTACTATCTGGACACAGAAATATTCAGTTTGGACTTAGTGCATTTACAGCTTTAACGTGTATTCTAATGGACATGAGTAGGAGAAAAGCCATTCAATGTGCTTTACAATGATCTTAATTAAGGTCATAGGAGAAGGGACTTTTGGGAATTTCACTGACTGTAGCTTGTGCAGTAAGGCAATCTTCTTTGAGGAAGATTTGACTACCTTTGAGTTCAATAGGTTTAAGCCATTTTATTTTTAAAGAAATTAGTCCCCTTTTCAAGTTATTTACACAACTGTCATTGGTTTACCCTATGGAGATCACATCTTCACTATCACATTAGAGTTTATTTGAGGGCTTTATCAGCTCTCGTGGTCAGTAATCAATAATCATTTGTTATAGAATGAGCCAAGGAATCTCAGGGTGTTGGCTCCCTCTCACCAGTGTGATTTTGTTCATCTCACCCACCTAACCCCTTGTCATGCCCAACCCCTCCTCCCTGATGCTCCCTCTGATGCCAGAAGAAGACAGGCTTCCTTTGACTTCTGCTCTTGAGATGTCTTTCTTAAGACAGCATTGCATTATTTTCTTTGTGTCTCCAAGTTTGGGACTATCTAGTTTCCCCATTTACACTTCCTTCCTTCCTTAGTCTTATGTATTTTTTCCATCTTTATTTCAGAGCTGTCTCTATTACATGATACTAAGTGAATTTGATTATTACAGCTATAGATTGTAAATCAAAAATTGAAACCCAATAAATAGGCTTTTTATTGTAAGCTTTTTGCAAATGTATTTTTCTTTATTTTATTAAGTGCAGCAACTTCTAACTACTGTTAAATTTGGGGTTTTCTTAAGCTCTTGTATGGGTTCTTGGGAGTTAGGTAGGTGGGGGAAGTGCTTGCTTCGCCAGTGTAAGGCCTGATATTTGAATCCACAGGACTATGTCAAACTGGCCACAATAGCCAATATCTGTCAGCTCTGTGCTACTATAGGAGATAGGAGGTGGAGACCAAATAATTCCCAGAAACTCCTGGGCTAGATGGCTTGGTATAAGCACAACAACAACAACAACTAAAGTAAACAAATAATAAAGCCAAACAAACAAGGTAGAAGGCAAGACTACATGGGTGTTTATGAGCTGACTAACATGGTACCAGCAATTGAACATGATTCCTCGGGAAGAGCAGCAAGAACTCTTAATAGTTGAGCCATTCCATGAACCTGGTAAATGCTGTTAGTTTTTCACTCATCTCAGGGAATGAGAGCACACATATCCAAAAAATAGTTTTATATTACTGAAGTGAAATGTGATGTGAATTGTCATACAACATTTGATGACTTAATAGAAGAACTCACCTTAATTTAAAAAAAAAAGTGAAAACTCACTGGAGAACAACTATAATAACTTTGGTTTCTAATTTTATGTCTGTTGTGCCCAGACCTCTTGGAGAGCACCAGGGCATGGAATTGCTCCACACAACCTATGACAGAGAAATCATGACTGAAGGCTCTGGGTATGTGGCTTGCTATCACAGTACTGCACCTGTAAAATGCTAATCTGTTTGAGCAGCTGTATTTTTATACATAATTTATTAGTGAATTGTTATTGAAAAAGAGGCCTCTGTGTGAGAAGCCACTCTGCCAGCTAATCCCCAAAGGAGTCTTTACTGAGAACTATTACTTTAGTGAACAAAGGGCTCTTGTATGGAATAAATGTACTATACATGCTTCAGCAGTACACCACTCCTCTTCATTACCAAGTCTCTTCATGACATAATAATGAAAGTGCCACTCACTGGAATTTGACATTCTGTGTATACTATGCCATTTCAAATGCTCACTTTCAAAACTGTAGTATGAAAAATATTTAAAAATTAATGGGATAAAAGAAGTGCTCATATTTCAAAAAATACTTATCTTCTGCCTATCCCCAAATACACTTACTACTACAATCTAAAGGTAAAGATGCTCCCAGTAAAATGTGAAATTGAGACACAGAATTTAATTCTCTGGCTTCAGAAACCATAGTTCCTATTATATTATATCCTTATAATATTTAATAACCAAAATGGAATTGAGATAGAGTTTGAGTTCCCAAGCTTGTAAGGATTTTGAGCACTATATAAATGTATTTCCAACCCCATGCTAAAGAATGCAAATGCAGTGACATCCCCCACACAAACTATCAGCTCCACAATATACCACCAGGCTGATTCAATATAAAAGTCTCCACCAGACTCTCAAAATGCTGCAGTGGTATGGAGATAAAACTCAGTGTGACTGGTACCACACAAGAGGCAAATGCATAAATGTTTTTATGATTCAAGATTGGATCTAAGCAATAAGACATGTTGTAGTTGTTATGCTTCTGTTACAGTCATTGAGTATAAAGAATATAACTGAGGTGCAGAGGTGTGGGAAATGTGACTGTTAATTACATCAACTAGGGGAAGAGTCAGTAGTTAAATGAGGACAAGAGTTCAGGTCCCAGCACCTATGTCCAGCTTCTCAGAACTGTTTGTACTACTAACTTGTGTACGCTGCACTGGCCTCCACATGCATGTGCTCATACACTCACACAGACATGCAGACTCAAATTAAATTTAAAAAACATATCAACTTTATAAGGAATATTTAGAAAGTCAGTAAGCCTGGCTTCGCTGTATTTATTTATTTATTTATTTATTTATTTATTTATTTATTTATTTAGGTTTTTTGAGACAGGGTTTCTCCTGTTGTTTTTTGGTGCCTGTTCTGGATCTTGCTCTTTAGACCAGACTGACCTCTAACTCACAGAGATCTGCCTTCCTCTGCCTCCTGAGTGCTGGGATTAAAGACATGAGTCACCACCACTCGGCTCTGGCTTCATTTTAATACTTATTTGAAATATAATTATTGTAATACATTAGTTCAGTGATGGTATGTAAGAAGTTAAGCAAATTCATGATTATCGCATTGCTGTATAGCTCCAGGTACTGATTTCCCTCTGTTCCTGCCCCTGATATTCTACACAGCTAATGTCAACCTGTTTTCACCTTGTATTTTAGTGGCTTGCATAATGTTAGTATTAAAATATATAGTGCTTGATGAGTTGTTTTCTGCTCCAAAGAATCTATTATCCAGGCATTTAATAATGTATATGTGAAACTAGTCTCTCTTTTTAAGAACATGCCTTGTTTCCCGACACCCATTTAATGACTCACCAATGAGGGCTGTTCTCTATTATTTTTTTCCCTTCTCTCTGATCATGCTTCATTTCCTAACACTGATATTCTTGGGTAAGAACACAGAACCATTTGAATGTGATTGCCTGTCTGTCTCTTTACAGTCACATTCAAATGGTTCTGTGTTCTTAACCAAGAATATCACTGTTAGGAAATGAACAGGAGTCAGGAAGCTAATTGCATTTTGGTGTGTGTTGAGAACATGAAGCATGATCAGAGAGAATCTATTATCCAGGGAACAGTAGGCACTATGTGCAACCCACATGATGGGCATACTTTTTCCTTATACCATCACCCCTTCCATGTCTCAGGACCTGAACCCAAGAGAAGGTTGGACCCCAGCAAACTTTAAGTAGTGATATATTTTGGAGTCATTTATGATGATGCTTTAATCCAGAAACTGAGATTGAACAAATATGAGAAAGAGTTCAAGGGCAGGGCACTATAGGGGCTTTATTGTTAAGGAATCTGGAAAAGAGCCATTTAAACACAGAAAGATAAATACTAGAAGGAGTTGAAGAAAAATAGCTGGGAAAGTGAATTCCTGGACTAAGGAGAAAAAAATCAGTCACAACTTTTTCTGACTGGAATAGCACATGAAGAGCTTAGAAAAAATTGTGTAGAACACTCTTGAGCAGATGTAAACTATTGAGATACTTCCAGAGTCAAGAAACGATCTTATAAATTATCTGTGGCCAGAGTGATGGTTCAGTGGGTAAAGGTGCTTGGCACCAAGCCTGAGGACCGGAGTTCAATCCTGCAGACTTACATAGTAGAAGGAGAGAATCAACTTTCAATCGTACACACACACACACACACACACACACACACACACACACACACACACACACACACACAAAACCAACAAAAAAAAACAATATTTATATTTCATTGTTTTGTAAGGAAGACAGAATGTTTACAGTGGTGGATACAAGTGAATGATGCATGGTTGACTGTCAAGGGTCACTTAAACCAAGTTGGTAAAACTTTTAAAATCTCCCAATAATTTCCACATAGCTTGAGTATAGTATGAACAGGGTACTTTGTGATATCACCTTGATATCACGAACTAGCTCCACGTTGCAAGTCTTCCCACCTTTCCTTGAAATATTTGGAATTGTTAGGAAAGAGGCCTTAATCCTTTCTAAAAACTTAATTGGGTTCTATAAAACGTTTTAGTTTATCAACCAGTATAGAGACAACTTCATCTGTATTGGAGTAGTTTGGGGTTTCTGGTTCTTCATAAGATAGAAGCAGACTTTCCTGGTGGTCTTCTTTGTTGCCTGTGGTCTGAGCTGCTACAGCACCACCTGACCCTCACCTATGGTCTGTTCCTACCTACCTGTTCTCCAAAGGGTTCCTCAAAACAAAGAACAAATAAAAAAAAAAAAACTTCCTACGTCCTTTTCCCAGAAAATTCTAAAGCCTGCAGGAACTAGAATTGGTCTGCTCATGGACTCAGTGCAGCTTCAGGTTTGAGGGTCTGCCCACTCCCTGTGCCTTCATGTTCCCTACCCTCTACATCTTCAGCAAATTATGTTGTTCTTTTTCTTCCCGAGGGCATTACTATATGTGATAGCACTCCCTTATGCTGTAATGTGTTATAAAGGCATAATGCCCATCATTATTAAAATCTCAGATTTTACATACATTTATTCTAATAACTATATTTCAAAAAAGAAATTTTAATTTCCACATAGACATCAGGCATAACACAATGAAGTTATTATAACAAAATATAACAGGCAGGAAATTGTGTAATGACTGGAATTAATGAGTTAATTAAATATATAATTTCACATATAATGGAAATTAAAGTTACTAATGCAGGAATGGCAATGGAAAGAGTTTGCAAATTATCTGAACATTAAATTATCCCCATCATAGTATTTTATGTTTGGAATGTGACTGAACAACTACACAGTGCTTTCTTTTACTATAAACTGGTCTTTTAATAACTAGGGCTTGATTATGGACATGTGGAGTGATGTTGATATAAGGAAAGAAAGAGTTTGGGTTGTTAAAAAGATTATATGTGTATTTTGTGGATTCCCATAAACTGTGTTCACAAGGCAAAGAGAAAATGAAATACAGTCATCTGAAAAGAAAATGAATCAATGTGGATGGAGAGGAATATGTCATGCCTCAGACCAAGAACACCATATAGAACTCATTACATTAAAAATACATGATCTCACTGGGCGGTGGTGGCTCACGCCTTTAATCCCAGCACTCAGGAGGCAGAGGCAGGAGGATCTCTGTATCTCTGTGAGTTCGAGGTCAGCCTGGGCTACCAAGTGAGTCCCAGGAAAGGCGCAAAGCTACACAGAGAAACCCTGTCTCGAAAACCAAAAA